AGGTTTCCAGATGCATCTTTAAACAAGGTCCTGAAATAGCAAAGCAACATTTCTAAACTGGGTTTCCAAAAGACCAAAATAAACCCACCATGTAAGCCTGGTTTCTATGGGAAGGCTAATTATTGTTCCATTAGCAATAGCCAAGGGAAATCTTATTATCTAAAAACATGGACAACATTTATGAGGATGAGCACAACTAACCCAATTTACATAGAAAACAGTTCCAGCCAATGGTTTGTGCTTAGGAAACAACATACGCAGTCAAATGCTTAAGAAGTAGAGACCAGGAGTGATACTCCAGGCTTCGCTGGACTGTCATCCACCACCAGCTGGAGGCACGGGGCAGGGCCCTGGACTGCCAGCTCTGCAGCAGACACTCCTGTCCATCCTGCTAGCCCTGGATGGCTCCTCTCTGGTCAGCGTCTCTCCTCTCTGTGACTCTACTAAATGGTTTTTCAAATTTGGGGCTTACTTATTTCTCCATTTTACACATTCACATCCTCTTTTTCTCTGAACAACAAACAGACTAGGACTGTCAATCTATCTACCTGTCCATCTATCTATATCTATATAAAAGGTATAAAAGGTGTTCCCCTTACCTTGCTGCCCAAGCAAATGGCATTCTATACTGTCCCAGTCTTTGGCAGGCTTGCTTGGCATTCTTCAGCACCTTCTGAGCCACCTTGAAGACATCAGAATGAAGCCGTGAGATACTGCATCGTGCTGACAGAATTATGACCTAACGAGCCTTCAACACATGTTCATTAAACAAGCTCTTAGCATAGCATCGGAGGCATGGAAAAACACGTCTCACAGCAATGAATACGGCTGGATCCACACGCAGTGCAGGGTTCTTTATTTAATGCATTCTCTAGCAGTGATTCTCAAAGAATACAGAATAAAGACTGTTTCCAAAATGCATGTCTTTTCTTTGGTCTTCACAGGCAACAAGCGTGCTATTTCACAGGCTTTCATACTTCCTTATGAGTAAGGACTACTGATTATAAGTCCAACGAGTTATCAATAATTACTGTTATTTGGTATTCATGCCAAACATCATATTACTAGAGTTTAAACGAGAACACTAATGAAAATATTAAGTTTTCACAGCTCCTAATGCACACTGGCTTGTGCAGATTCCTGCAATTTGGGAAATAAGACATCATCATAGGTACCAACTTAAGTTAGGCCAGGGTTTCTAATTGCTATATTCCTGCTTTCTAAATATAAATTACTGCTATTTTCACTTCCTAATGATCAATTTTGGTTTGTTGTGGGTTGACTGATTAATACTATAGTGCACAACAAAGCTTATTTGCTTTTGGACTAAGACAGGTATGTATGGAAGGCCTATTACTAATCAACTATACCCTTACTGCTAAAGCAGATAACACCTAATTTTTCCAAATTTGCTTATACTATGATAATGCACTGTTATCAACACAACGTTTGATTAATTCAGAGAGTCAGAGTGGCAGGTTGAAGGGTCTTTTTACTTAAGGACATCAAAGTCAAACCAATTTTGGACAATGTGCTCTAGCACCTGTGAACTAAAGTGTGCTCTGCTAAGCCGAAGCAACAGCATCCCTGTTAGCAATGCAGAGTTTAAGGCCCTGCCCCAATCCTCCTGGATCTGAACCTGCATTCTGACAAGACCTCTGGTGATCTGTGTGCAACATCAGGTTTGAGAACCGAGGACTAGAAGATTCAGGAGCAGATGATACAGCCGCCTGTCTCTAAGTCAAACGGAATCCAGCTGTATGACTCTGCAGGTCATTAAACCTCTCTGGGGCTCCACTATCCTCACCTGAAAAATGAAGGGCCCGGGCCATACTTTTCATGATCCCTCCCAGTTACAAAAACTTCATGATCCTACAACAATCATGCTGTGGGAATCGCTGCCTTCGTGAGTCAACTGAAAAACACATCTGATTGAAACAGATGTCAGGGGATCATCTAGTCCCTCCCTTTCTTCTTCGGTGGAGTATGTTCTTGCCTTCCTGGGGCGTCTTACTGGGGTCTCAGGTGTATGCAGTCATACGGTAAAACAGCTTCCTGGAGGGTCAATTTTATTTAAACATTTTCAGGCTCAAGATTTTTAGGTTCTAACAATAATGAATCTGCTGTGGAGTAAAATGTAGTATTTGCATAAGATTTTAAGCTAAAACACAAGGCTTCCATAAGCCTTCCCTGCAGCAAATGAGGACTGAGCTCTAAGACTTCCCAAAGGT